CGAGACAACCACCTTGCCTCTGCGTGGGTCGTAGAGCCGGTACACCTTGGTACCTTCCGCATAGCCTAGGAGCACTATCGGTGTGCTCCTGTCCTCCAGCTTGGTGAGGACCGGCTTCATCATCCTAACGTGGTCGATGCTGCCGAATGTCCGGAGGAAGGACACGCTCGGCTTATGCCCATACCAAGCTTCGAACGGCGTCTTGCCCTTTAGGGCCTTGGTGGGCGCACGGTTGAGGATGAACACTGCCGTGGTCACCGCCTCACCCCAGAACCTTGCTAGCATGCTCTTGGCCTTCATCATGGATCGAGCCATGCCGACCACCGTCTGGTTCCGCCGCTCCACCACACCATTCTGCTATGGTGAGTACGGCGCGGTGTGGTGTCGCACCACACCCTGATCTACATAGTACGCAGTGAACTCCACCAAAGTGAATTCGCTGTCCCGATCAGTCTGCAACATGCGCAGCTTCTTGCCGCTCTCCGCCTCCTCGCGCGCCTTGAACTTCTTGATCGCCTCCGCCGCCTCATCCTTGCTCGTCAGGAGTTGTAGCCACATATAGCGCTGTAATCATCCATCAGCAGGAGGAAGTACCACCGATCACCGTTTGTGGCTGGCATAATTGGCCCATAGAGATCGCCGTGGACGAGCTCGAGAGCGTCCGCCGCACGATACTTGACCGCCTTTGGGAACGGCAGCCTCCTTTGCTTCCCGGCCAAACAGCTGTCACACAGCTTGCCTCCGTGCTTGATGTGGGGCAGCTCTCAGACCATCTTCTCCAGCCGACCGAGCGCATCGAAGCTGAGATGGCCGAACCGGGCATACCACAGCCACGGCTCCTCAGTGTGCTGTGCTGCCAGGCACACCGACTGCTCCACCTTCAAGTCGAGCAGGTACAGCCAGTTCTGGGACCTCTTCACCTTGGCAAGAAGGCGTTGCTCCCGGTTCCTGATCCTGAGGACGCTGTCCTTGATCAGTACCTCGCTGCCGCGCTCATCCAGCTGGCCAATGTTGATGATGCTTGAACGTAGATGCGGGGTGTAATATACATCCATTAGCGTGCGGTGCTCGCCGTTATGGCACCTGAAGATGATGGTACCGTGCCCTCAGATCGTCACCCTTGAGCCGTTGCCAAACTTCACCGTGCCGGTCATGTCGTCGTCAAGTTCGGAGAAGGCTGCCTTGGAGCCTGTCATGTGGTTGCTGGTGCCGGAGTCCAGGTACCACCGCTGCTCCTGCTCGTCGCCCACACGTCTGAGGTGGACTTGGGCGCGCGGTTCGTCGAGGTAGCCAGCTTTCAGAGCCTTCCCAGGCCCTTTCACCACCATCACCTCTCCCTTCTCCTTGGCCTCAACGTCGTGCAGTGCACAAAACATTGCCATCAGGAGAGTGGCCTCATCATCATCATCAGCCTGCGCTAGATTAGCCTCAACCTTCTTCTCTTACTTGCGATTTGGGCACTCCTTTGCCCAATGGCCCGTCTTCCCGTAGCGTCGGTAGGCGTTGGGGTCGACCTTCTTCTCCGAAGAAGCCTTGCCGCGGCGCTTGCCATCGCCTCCGCGGCTGGAGGAGGCTTCTCCAGAGTTCCTCCGAGCAGCCCACTCCTCCTCTGTCAGCGGCAGCTTGCCGCTGTCCTTCGATGTTGTGGCCTGCTCCATGCGCTCGTCCACCCCCCGTAGACGACCTGTCATATCCTCAATGGTGAGGGTGGATAAGTCCAGGATCGTCTATATGGAGAGAGTAATCTAGATGTACTTCGCCGGCATAGAGTGGAGGTACTTGGAGACCGCCTCTTCTTCGTCGATGGTGACGCTGTGGCTCCTTAGCTTGCTGATGAGCGTCTGCAGACGGAGGAAGAAGTCCTCCACCGATTCACCATCCTTGAACTTGAGGTTGACGTACTCCTGCTTCAGCAGCTGAGCCGTCGCCTTCTTTGCGCGGTCGGAACCAACGCGCATCGCCGCAATGGCCTCTCACGCCTCCTTAGCAGAGCTCTTCGCCCCCAACGGCTCCCTGTACTTCACTGGCACAGCAGCGAGGGATAGCTTCCAACGTTGACATGTCGTCTTGTTCGCTGTTGGTGCCCTTGTCAACAGCATTCCAGAGCCGTCGGGCTCTGAGCTTGACCTTCATGGTCACCGCCCACTCGCCATAGTTGGTGCGAGTCAGCGTCGGCCAACTGGTGCCGCTGACCTCCCGCACCATGCGCACAACGACCTCCTGTCGTGGCTGGGCAGCCACAGCAGCGCCGCTGCTGTCGTCCATCTTCAAACCGTCCATCATCGCCATCGGTTAGTCCGGCGACGGCGCTTATACGGCTTTGATACCACTTGTTGGCCCCTTGATCTCCGGCACGGGTGAGCCGACCACTAACCAGCGCTGCCGACCACACACTTTGGTTAGAGGTAGAAAAATGGAGGGAGAACAGAGCACGCACTCACACAGCACAAGCACCAGCGTTGGCCGGAGTTCTACAGAGTAGATGGCAAAACTGAACTCGCTCTCTTTACTGAGTTGCAGTGGCAAACTATATATACAACTCTACCCATCTAATCCTAGTACACAAACATGTCAGGCTACCATGCTGCTACAGTGACTAGATGTGACAGTAGGGCTGACTTTGGCGCATGCCCCTGCTGTGGCTACAGTGCGGCAGGGGAGCCTTTCGGCGTCTGCCCTGCAGCGGCTACAGTACAGCAGCAGGGAGCCCTTTTCGGCGCCTGCCCCCTGCCGTACGTTGACACAGGGAAACAGCGTAACAGCCTACAACATGCAGTCTTGCATCCTCATAGAGAAGTCTGATTATGTGGTGGCCATATTAATATTTTCTTCTTTTCTGAATTCTAAACTTCTATTGACTCTGTGAAGCACTCTGACCAATGGAAGGGATATACAAGACTACCATCTGAGCAAGAATACTCTGAGGATGTCAGTCATATCCACCGTGGCCTAAACGTTGAGCCTACCAGGGAGGAACTCAACAAATTATCAAAAGCATGCGGTCGGCTATGGGAACTTGATCTAAACCGCCTCACTCCTGGGAAGGACTACACAGTTCAATGCGGTGAAGGGAAGAAGGTTTATCATAAAGGCAACAAGGCACCTAAAATCTGTTCAGCTGGCTGGAAGAGAGTGTACTGTGGAGGCCTATGTACTCCCGTTTCTGTGCACTCCTTGATAACTACAACCCCCACCAAGGATACACGAATCAGTCACCCAGCAGGAGGAGCATGAAGAAGCTGCTTTTATTGAGGAGATTTCAAGAAGTGATCCAATCAAGTACTTGCATCATGGTGAAGGAGGCCACGTCTCAGGACTATGAGGACTTCAAGACAATGCTGACATCCCTGTGGTTTGATTTGTGTGGAAGAGGTGGCTGCTCTAGACCTCTAGTAGTTCTTCTGCCTTTGAACATGTGTTTGTTGGAGAGATCAAGGGGCAGAGGCAAGGCGAGACTGAAGTATCAGGCTTCCACAGATTCAGGCAAGTTCCTGACTTCTTGTAGTGCTGCAGCGTCATAATTTTGTTTGTTTCCGTATTTGAGTGAGATTATGATGGTGTTGGAGACTAATGTGCTGTTTTACCTGGAAGAATCCAATGCCAATGTTGATTACCAAGGGTACATATTCCCAATGAGGCGTGTGGAGTTGGTTAGTACCATCCCAATATACTTGTCGTACACATATGTGATATGTCATAACGGAGCTAAACTTTTTTAGTTGTTCCCTGCCAAACTCTGAAACACAACTGCTCATCGTTCAGTTTGAGTGGCATGGAGTTTTAATATCTGTATCCAGCACATTGATTGGTGGCAGTCCCGAGTTTGAAATTGCACTACACACTCTCTGCTTCTTTGCTGGAGGGGAAGATAACCATGTAGATATTGGCGGCCAATATTCAGCGAATATCAAGTGCTACAGGTTGGGGGATAACAAGACTGGCTCAGCTTTCCCAAATGCAGAAAAATGATTGCCTGGTGGCCATATACTGAAGGTCAGTAAGGGATCAAGCCAGTTTCTATCAGAAAAATAAAATTGTTTGTTCAAGAACTTGCAGCTTTGTTGCAATATGTACTGTATGATGTAACTCTTTGATCAAGATTTAAGTACAGCATCTTCAATAAAAAAATTCCCTTTCTTGTGCTTAGTACATGTTCTTTAGGAAATCCAAAAAATCAAATGTACACTAGCAGAAGACTGCATTTGATTCGTTTCTTTAGGAACTTGTACGAAGTAAAGGTTTGACCCACTAATAAGTCAAAACTCTTGAAGGTACATTTGTGGCCTTGTTCGCTTGGCTGAATTTGACTGAAAAACACTGTTCCAGCTGAAAAAAGAAGCCGAACAGACGCCTTTTAAGGTCAGCCGAACAGCACCAATAAAGTTTGAAATAACATCATAATAATTTTCTGGATCAGCACCATAGGAATTACATTTTGCACATGGGATCCTACCAGGAAAGGAAACTAATACGTGTAACAACTCAGGCTACATGCTCACGGTTATAATTTATGTTACACGAGGAGGAAAAGAAAGAAACTGCTATGATCCTAACTTTACAAGCTGAAATCATGCAGTAAAAAAATAGTGCACAACATGTATTTCATACATAAAAGTCTAAAACAGCGGGCCTTAAAAATACCGCTAGCCACTATAGAACTATCAGTCAATGGTAAAAGGCAAAATCCAGTATGGAAAAGAAGAATTTGGCACCTTTAATACTATCTACCTTTACAATGTTCAAAGTTGCAGTCAAACATAGAGAACTGAATTACATTTCACACCTATGATCCTTTATAGCAACGAAACATTTACAATAGTAACTCTTGAGTCTCAGATCTACCCTACCTATAGAAAGCACACAAGTAAAAAAAAGAATGTTTGGTCACCTAATAGATTTACACTGACATGATGAAAACATCACCAACGATCCTATATTCATAAATCATAACCACTTAAAAAAGTAGAGTAAAAAAAAACGATCACAACTACAACTCAAAATTATGTAGGAGTTGGAGTAGCCGCAGTCCTCATGAGCATAAATCTCCTCACAATGCTGTTTGCATTCTCACCTAGGGCAGCCAGATGAAGCATCCTCCGCCTTGCAGATGCCACGGCAACATCCTCTGGGGTTGGTTTTCCAGATACTTCCTCTGGTGGTGAAGTCTCACCCAAACTCCCTGTTTTCCCATCTAACTCCTTGTGCTGCATTGCTTGCTTCAGGCTCTCGACCACTTCTCTCATTGTTGGACGATCCCTTCTCTGCTTTGCAAGGCAGCTGTTGGCCAACTTGGCAATTTTTCTAGCGCCCTGCTTAGAGTAGTGGCCCTCATGCCTTTTATCTATAATCTTGCTGAATTGCTTACTTTCAACAGGATATGTACAGAAATCTGCTGCTCTCCCTCTGTGCGCGCGGCAGGGCAGGCGTCGAAAGGGCTCCCCTGCTGCTGCACTGTAGTCGCAGTAGGGGTAGGCGCCGAAAGGCTCCCCTGCCGTACTGTAGCCACAGCAGGGGCAGGCGTCAAACTCAGCCCTGCTGTCATATCTAGTCACTGTAGCAGCCTGACATGTCTGTGTATTAGGATTATATGGGTAGAGTTGTATATATAGCTTCACACTGCAACTCAGTAAAGAGAGAGAGTTCAGTTTTGCCATCTCCTCTATAGAACTCCGACCAACGCTAGTGCTGTGTGTGCGCGCGCTCTGTTCTCCCTCCCTCTTCTACCTCAAGCTGTAGTGTGTGGTCGGCAACGACGGTGAGCGGTCGACTCACCTGTGCAGGAGATCTCGGGACCAACAGGATACAGCCTCACCCATTCCAGAAGTTTCTGCTCGTTCTTGGGACGGTTCCTCTCCATTGAGCGTCGTCCAGTGAGGATCTCATATAGAACTACTCCAAAGCTCCACACATCACTCTTTGTAGTGAGATGGCCTGTCTCAACATAATCTGGAGCTGCATAGCCCGAGGTCCCCCATAACCTGATTGCATAATTATTTTCATTGGGATATAGCATAAGATTTCAATAGAGCAAAATTCTGTAACATGACCAAACATAAATTAAATAATCTTGTTCTGTTCTATGAAGTAAAATCAACACACACTGCTGTAGAGACGTGGGTATCACCAGCTGATGGCCCTTCCCTTGCCAGTCCGAAATCTGAAAGTTTTGCTCTAAACTCTTCGTCCAGCAGGACATTTGAAGCTTTGAAATCGGGATATATGACCTGTAATGACGAAACACAAATATCTCTCATTCTTTTTTTGGAAACAAAATCAAATCATATTGACTAACTTGATTGTCAAGGGAAGATGCACAGAGCAGAAAATGATATTTATAGAACATGTTTCTCTTAACCACGTTCGCATTCAATCAACATGATCACTCAATAACATTGTCTAATCCAAGAATATGAACAATCCAAGGTTTCAGAATGTGAAAAAACAGATAACTCATAACACAAATATTTCAATTTCCAAGAATGTATGAATGTGCAAGCCCAAGTTTTGACCTGATCTATGAGAGATCTATTATTAATGTCCAGTGATTCAGTGCGGATTACTACATTCAGCATTTTTAGATATGATTCGGTATGGATTATCACAACGCAACATTTTTTTTAAACAATGGCAGGAGCTCTGCCTTTCAATTAAGACGAATGAAGTTTATATACAAGCAAAGGTAACCAAGCGTGGTGCCAAACACCGCGAAAGGTTAGCCCACCCACGCAACGCGGTAGAGTACACACTACCGTGAGTCATTGTTGCCGAGTGTGGTTGCAAAGCAGCCAGCAGCTCCGACTTCCCATGGCAAAACCACGACGACACATCCTAAGATATCAGACCAACGGGCCCGAAGCAGGAGGCTGCAACAGGTCATCGTTGCCGAGCTCAACGGCTCCGCGAAGAGCAGCTCCGACTTCCTGCCATGATCCCACACCCCGCCCGCGGCGATTGCCGAGCCTCTAAAGCTGAAACCCAGCCGTCGGAGAAGGAGGGTTCGACCCGCGTCATCGTTGCCGAGCTACATCCCCTGATGCAGCAGCTCCGACTTCCCGATGCAGAACTCGCCGTCTCGCGTCAACCGGGCGCCGAAGAGGCAGAGGACATCCGCCGAAGGAGACATCACGGCCGAGACGAATTTCCACAGCGACGCCTTCAGGAAGGGTACAATGCAGATAGCGCCGCCGTCGCTTGTCCAAGAATGGACCGGGTTTCCACCCGTGGAAGACGTGGCTGGGGGCACAAGAACACGACGCCCCCAACAAGGAAAACGGCGCCCACAGGCGTCGCCGTCGCCAAGGCTTTCGCCCGAGGTGCCCCTAGCACAACGTCGAGCCAAGATGTCGTACCGTAGCCTGTCGCCACCGTCGTCATCACCGCCATCCCGCAGAAGCCCCTCCAGAGGGCATCGACGCGCCGGCTGCTCACAGCAGCCGCACAGCTGCGTCGGCCGCCACCCCCTCCGACCGGGCAACATGCGGAGGTGGACTTACCCTGCCACGCGCGTCACCCTGCCGTCAGCCGCACAGCTGTTGTCGCCGGCACAAGCACCCGCCGTCGACGCTGTCGACCTCCGCCAGCCACCGACAGGCGCATGCCCCCACCTTGGGCGCCGCCCCCTTCCCTAGGGGCACCGGATCTGGCCATCAGGGCGCCAGACCCAGTGACCCCGGCTGGCGCCGCCACCTCCACGCTAAGGCCAAGGAGGAAAAGGGGGAAGCGGAGGAGGAAGAAAGGGCCCCGCCACGCTTCGGCGCCAAAGACGGCACAGCAGCGCCGCAGCAGCCAGAAAGAAAGCGGCCCCGCCGAGCCCCACGCAACTCGTGTGAGGGCACGCCCCGCCGCCCCGCTACTGCGCATGCCGCCACCAAGCTCGAGGAAGAGGACGAGACCCGGCCCTGGGCGACGCAACCGCCACCACAAGCGCCGAACCCGTGGATCCGCGGCGTCTTGGACAAGAGTCGCCGCCACCGCCGCCCAGCGTCCGCCCAGGCGTGGCCCGCCGGAGATCCGAGCGAATCCGGCCGTCGGACCGCCGGATCCGGACGCCAAGCGAGGAGGCCGCCCAGACAGCGCGGCCGAGACGCTGCACCACCACCACCCCCAGCGACCCCACCGAGCCCTGGGGACGCGAAGTTCGTCCCCGACCGCCGCAGCTTCCATCGCGAAGAAGAGCCTCGCCGCCGCCCTCACGGCAAGAAGCTGCACGCCATGCCGGGCGGCTCGCTCGCGGCGACGGCGCCTGGCTGGAGAGAGGGAGGATGGAAGAGAGGCGGTTAGGGTTTGGGTCGCCCCGTGTTGCTGCGCGTGAAGCGACAGGCAGGCCAAGCTTACATTTACCATACTACAAATTTTGTGCTTGTAACATTCCTGTGGTGTGCAAATCAGTTATTTGTTCAATTTATACTGCATGCTCTTTCTCATGTAACCTAATCTATCACTCTCAAAGAAAAGTTATTGTGCATTTTAGATAGGTTACTCGTAAAGAAAAGTTATTCTGCATTTTAGATAGGTTACCATATTACAAAAAATTGCGCTTGTGACATTTCCTGTGATGTGCAAATCAGTTATTAGTTCACTTTATACGCATGCCCGTTCTCATGCAATCTAATCCAAGTTATTCAGTAGGGTTCAGGATAACCTTATTTATCTGTGGAGTACCGAGCTGATACCTGAACTTCTAATCCCTCATGGAGGTACAGCAATCCCTCAGCGGCATCCAGTGTTATCTCCAACCTGATGTTCCATGGAAGGACGGGGTATGCTTTATTGAATAGATGATCGTCCAGGGTCTTGTTCGTCATGAACTCATAGACCAGTAGCCTCTGAGGACCTCGCTCGCTTCGAGCAGCGCAGTACCCAATGAGCTTGACGAGATTTGGGTGGTCAACAACCCCAGGAAATGTACTTCTGCCAACCATTGCTTGTGGTCCTGATCAAGTCGGGAGCAGGAACAGAAAACTCTTGAGACTTGGATGCAGATGAATATGCCAGAATGAGATAACCTTGAACTTCTGAAATGAAATAGTGCTAGCATCGCCATGTTTATCACACATAGTATGCTGCGTTTGCAGATTGCATGGTAGCGTTAGGCTTCACAAAGCCATTAGTGAAATGAATTCTACACAGTTATGCAAGGTACGGTCCATTTCATGAACCAAAAACAGAGTCTCATTGTAATTCTAGGGGATGTAGATAACTCTAAAAATTTCTAGGGGCTGTAGTCGAATGTAAATGGCAAGCAATAGACTGTAAAATGCTGATGAATTCGTGATCAACCAAGACAAATTGAGCCAAGATACCACCGATCCATACGACCATACCTGATGACCATTGGGATTGAGTTTCTTGATGGCAACCACCGTGCCGCCGGCGGGCCCGCCAGGTAGCCGAACGACGCCCTTGTAAACGCTCCCGAAGCCGCCCTCGCCGACCTTGAGCAGGCGGCTGAAGTCGCTGGTAGCGGTCCGGAGCTCCCGGAACCCGAACTCGGTGCTGGCTCCCCTCTCCTCGTACAGCTCCGGGATGCTCCGCGCCGACGACACCGAGACCGAGCCTGACGACACGCTCACCGCCGGCAGCATGACCGCGGGCCGGTCCTGAGATTTTTCGGACCCAGAAAGAAACTAAAATTTTGCATCTTTTTATATAAACATGATAATACTAATACTATTTATGGCTAGTATATATACACAAATATACAAAATGTTAGTAATTAACTGAATGCAAAAGCAATATTCATATGAAATAATTTGTATACATATTAAATTACCTCAAAATTTTCTTCAGACAATCCTCGATGCGAAGACCTTGATGATGGTGTCAATACCAATCTCCAATAATCGCTTCTTAATGATTAATGTTGTCAATTCATTTAACATTTGGATCTTCTGGATTAGCGTTAGCTGGTTTCTCCATATCTCAAATCATCTGTTAAGAAATTTATGAAAAGCCCCTCTCTATTATTGTATCAAAACATCTATTCGTGTTTTCTTCTTTCTTTTGTCATTGTCAGAAGCATACTTTCTTGATGACATGACATGGCACCGTTAAAATTTATAGAAACAATTAGTCAAAGATTAAACAATACGCAAATATGAAATTCCAAATGATGTCCGTCCGGGCCTGTGAAATCTGAATCAATGATTAATCTTTACCTTAGCGGTCGGCAGTTCATGGTTAGGGAATACTCTCTCTCTCCCTTATTATCTGTCGTTTTCGGTTTTCATGCCACAAATTTAATTAGATTTATAGAAAATATGTGCAACATTTGTATCTCTAAATAAATTTATTTAAAAACTAGATTAAAAGATCTATCTAATGAGATCAATTATGTATCATAAATATTAATATTTTTTATATAAACTTAATCAAAATCATTTTTCGAAAAGCGAGAACAACAGATATTTAGGGACGGGGGAGTAGAGAATTAGGGATCGTATAGGAGATACCTATGCGGATCACGTATTCACGTTCAGTCTCACTCGTTTACGTGCGGTCGTGCCTGCCTACAGCCTGCCTGGCTACCCGCCACCCGCTGGCGACTCGCAGAGCGACAGAGTCACGGTCGTATGCAGAGGAAAGAGAATGAACGATCATCGACTCCGTGACTCGTAGTCGAAGGCTCAAAGCGTCTCGCGTCGTCACGAGGACCGAGGAGTCGCTGCTACGGCGTGCCTGCGTCTATGACTCTACGTACGTACGTTTGTTACTAGGCTCACATACGCCGAATAAGATGGTGTTTGGTTGCCCCTCCTAAATTTTAGTCGTTGTCCCATCGAATGTTTGACACATGCATGGAGTATTAAATATAGACTAATTACAAAACTAATTACATAGTTTGTGACTAATTTGCGAGACGAATCTTTTAAGCCTAATTAGTCCATAATTTGACAATGTAGTGCTACAATAAACATATGCTAATAACAGATTAGTTAGACTTAAAAACTTTATCTCGTGAAGTACCCAACGGATTATGTCACTGCATCAAACACCCCCTGATACTAATACTGGTGTCTGCGTACTTGGGAGGGTCCCATCCGACTCCCTAGGCCTGGGACGGTTGTCCCTCTCGCCCCGCCCAGGGCCGGGCCCTCGAGTCCTCGGAGTGGCTCGTGCCGACGGCCGACGACGCCGTGGAGACGGTGGACGGGAACGAGGCGGTCGCCGGGGACGCCGGCGCCGCCCGACGCTTCTCGCCCGTGCCCCTCTTGGTCTCGCTGCTGCTGAAGCAGCGGAAGCAAGACATCGCTTGGAGTTGGAGCAAGACGGCGGCGGGGCTCAGCTCGAGGTGGCTTCTTGTCTCGTCTTCTCTGTTGCCTCCACCTCACCGCCTCAAACTACGGCGAGATTCTCCAACAATCGCGACAGGAACAGAGCCTCTCGTTTCCTCCCTTTTCGAATCAAGAACATCTCGCCCAGCTCCAGAAACGAAACCGATCAAACGCAAACTTTTCATTGAAAAAATTAGACTCTTGGCTGGCAGCTTGACGGCGCAGCTAGGCAGGGACGGCGGGCATGGGGAGGCGGCACAGGCCCAGCGATTCAGCGAAGATGTCAATTGATTGAAGCAGGGGGGTTAATTGACGCTGGACTCCGTGCGAGTCCAAGGTGAACAGGAAGCTGGGAAACACAGAGGAATTCGCCCACGCTTCTTTCTCGTAGGCATAGGAGGAACTCGGGAAGCAATGAAGCTGATAGAGACGGAGGTAGTTGGCGTGTAGATCACGCTCGTAAGCCTGTGCAGGAAATGATAAGAAATCGGGAGGTCAAACTGAAGGTGCTTGGAGAGCGACGGCAGAGGAGATTGGTGGGGATGCAACTGCAAGCTGCAATATACCCTCGCCCGCCAACTGCGCCTTCTTTTCACCTTTTCTGCTGTACAGTACTAGTACGTACCATATGGTCGTCTTATCCAATATCTACAGCCTGTTCGGTTGGCTGGTTCGTTTTGTTGCTGGTCTGTAAAGAAGTATTGCTGGCTGGTTTGTGTGAGAGAAAAATACTGTTCTGACTGAAAATTTACGATCGTTTACGACGAGCCACAGCTAAACCAACATGCTGCTAATGATGTTTTCTGCGAGGTTATATATAATTTATAAACTGTTTGCTCCCAACTCTCACGTATTCGACCCGTCCTCCCCAAATTCACACCAGAGCAATTTCGCAGAACTGTTTGTAGTTGTAGCTGACCCGGTTGACTGGTATCTCGGTCCCCATAGTCAGCAAACATGGATACGTATCCATTAAAACTTCAGTTTCTTATGGTTAATGTTTGTTCTCTATTCTCTTTGAGAGCATACGAACGTTTCTGAGCCCGTTCACTACAAGGTTTTTTTACGCTGCTACTACAACCGTGGCTGCAAAAGTAAAACTAGGAGTAAAATTCACCAATAGTCCTCGAAGTTATGCGAAGATGTCATCTAGATTTCTAAAATTCATGCATTTTTGGCTCCCTGAAGTTGTAATGGGTCCTATCTAGGTCAAACAGGAATTTACTCGACCCGCTATCCTACGTGGCATGGATCTGACACATGAGATCCACATGTTAGTGGCCTCAAATGATAAAACTCAAAACTAAAAATTTGTAGATTTCATTAAGAGACACAATTTTCGTCAAGTATATTATTTTTTGAGCATCTTAACGACCTTAAATGACAAAACTCAAAACTAGAAATTTATAGATCTCATCAGAAGCCACAATTTTCATATGCAATGTATCTTTGTTCGACACCATACAAGAAAAACATATGATTTTTCTAAGGCGGCAAGACCGATACGTGATTAATATGTTGTTGAAACTTTATATTATTTTTAGCGCCTTAATGATTTCTAATGAAAAGAATGAAAACTATAAAGTTGTAGATCTAATCGAAAGCTACAATTTTCATATAAAAATCATCTTCATCTGGGATCATATAAAAAAGATGTGATTTTTTAAGGTGGACCCTTGTCGCTGGCACGTGGGTCCCATCTGTCAGTTCCATGCCACGTACGATAGCGGTGAAGGGGACCATGACGCCTAAAAGGGGGGGTGAATTAGGCAACTTAAAAATCTAACTCTAAACTATGGTCTCTTTTTCTAACATTAGTAAAATCTATGCAAAAAATATACTATCTAAATGTGCAACTACGGTTTTGCTAGTGTATTGCTATCTCTACCGTAAAAAGAGTAATACAATCAATGTAAATGCGGAAGCTAAACAGCAAGGTAGAGATATGCAAACTCCCGTCGATAACTCCTATATTTTTACCGAGGTATCAAGAAGCGCGCAAGCTTCCCCCTAGTCCTCGTTGGAGCCCCTCGCAAGGAATCCCTCGCAAGGGCCAAGCTCCCGGTCGGGTAACTCCGTGGATAGCCTCGTGCCTTCCCCACGCGCAAGTGGGTCTCCGACGTGCCTTCCAGCAAGCCTCTCCCAGATGCTCCCCACCGTCTTCACTATCAAGCTTCCGACCGAAACGTCGCGGGCCTTGTTCCCTCCGGTACACGGTGGCGGCCACACCACAAATGTGTTTGGTGTGATCTTACAAGACTACAAGCCCCTCCGATGTACAACAATGGTGCGCGCAAGCACCGAGTGGTAAGAGGTATGCAAACCTCACTAAACACTAGGCCTAAACCTAGAGCAAGCGTATAAGCGGTGGTCTAATCAACATAAGCACTTTGCAAAAGCACCTACGCTAATCACCTAATGAATCACTAAGCACTATGCAAGTGGAGATCACTAAAATAATGTATCAACACCCTTGATATGCTTCCTCAGCTCCACACACTTCAAATGGCCGGTTGGGGGTCTATTTATAAGCCCCACTGAGAAAGTAGCCGTTGGGAACGAAATCCCGCTATTTTGCTACTGACTGGACGCTGATCACGTCCTGACCGGACGCGTTCGGTCGTCCCGACCGTTGGAGCCGCGATCAACTGATCGGACGCTGCCAGCGTCCGATCACATGCCACCGGACGCGTCCGGTCGTATTTTAGCCGCTCTGGAACCTTTCTGTACTCGACCGGACTCTGCTGTCCTACGTCTGGTCGATCTGTCGCCAGCGTCTGGTCTAGCGTCTAGTCACGCCTGTTGCCCGAGCCTCTTGATCGGAGCGTCCAGTCATTTTCCTCCAGCGTCCGGTCCAGCGTCTGGTCACCTCTGTGAGCTCGTTTCTTCGCGATCTTGCGTACGGCTTGGTTACTATCTTCGTGCTTGGACTTTGCTTGATATCTTGGGTCTTCTCTTGTGCTTCTAAGGTCTTGCTTGTGGTGTTGATCATCGGACCATCACGTCGCCTTCGTCCAAGTCACGTCCTACATCCTATTGAATTACAAAACAATCACTTGCAAATTCATTAGTCTAATTTGGTTGTGTTGATCATCAAACACCAAAATCTAAAGTAAATGGGCTAAGGGTCCATTTTCCTTACAATCTCCCCATTTTTGGTGATTGATGACAACACAACCAAAGCAGGCAAATAATAATAAAAGTTTGGAATTTAAAAACTATCTACTTGCTAGGATGCAATGCAAGGGACAAGGTTATATGATGCTAAAAGATATTACTTGTAAGACTAAAAGATACTACATAAAATCTTA